TTGGAAGGCAGAGGAAGCAGTTCAAGAGGCAGATGCAAGGCTGCGTCACAGGAGCCTGGTGGGAGTGGTCACACGAGGTCGAGCTGGGCTAGGATCTTTTCCAACCCCCCAAATGAACACCAAGGGGAAGGAAGGGCGACATCTTGTTCAGGAGGAGGTGAGAGCAGCAGTGGAGGAGACGAGAACCTGCAAGGCAGTGGGAATGAAGCAACAGGGAGCTTGGACGAGATGGGAGAATGCGGTTGAGAGGAAAGTGACCTGGGCTGAGCTCTGGAAAGCCGAGCCTCAACGCATAAAATTCCTTATCCGGGCAGTGTATGATGTGCTGCCAAGCCCGTCAAACCTGTACACATGGGGCATAGCAGAGACACCAGCATGCCCATTGTGTTCCAAGCGAGGAACCCTGGAACACATCCTCAGTTGCTGTACAAGGGCACTTGGAGATGGACGGTACAGGTGGAGGCATGACCAAGTCCTTAAGACCATCGCTGAAGCTATCAGCACAGGACTTGAGTGGGCAAAGCAGTTCCGACCCTCCAAGAAAACCATTGCCTTTGTCAGAGCTGGGGACACGGCAACTCCTGCCAGAAGAACATCCTCTGCAGGCATTCTGACGTCTGCAAGAGACTGGCAGTTGTTGGTGGACCTTGAACATCAGCTGAAGTTCCCCAGCCATATTGCAGTCACCACTCTGCGACCAGACATTGTCCTTGTGTCTGAGTCCACCAAGCAAGCTGTCCTGCTGGAGCTGACAGTTCCGTGGGAAGATCGCTTGGAAGAGGCCTTTGAGAGGAAACTCTCCAAGTACGCAGGACTGGTCAGCAATTGTCAGCAGGCTGGTTGGAGAGCAAGGTGTTTCCCCGTGGAAGTTGGATGCAGAGGATTTGCAGCCCGTTCCTTGGCCAGAGCCTTCAGCAGTTTCGGCATCGAGGGAGAGAGAAAGAGGAGAGCCATACGCAGTATCACTGATGCGGCTGAGAGAGCCTCAAGATGGCTGTGGCTCAAAAGAGGAGAGCCATGGAGCCATGGTAGCTAGTTAGCCATCTGGACACAAGCTGGGGTCTGATCAGCCCTGGTTGGGTCACCTGGGGGAGGGCGTATGATGTTGAGAGACCCGAAACGCCCTATGATCTCAGGAATACATCACTGATGATGTGTCCAGATAGGCATCAGTAGATGTATGTACACAGCCCTGCATTTTATTTTTTGGTATTTTTCAATTTTATCTGTCTTATTGGTGGATTTACTGTAATCCTTTTATTAGGGTTCCATCCAATCCTATTGCTGTCAACATACAGTAAACAGTAAATTGACCCTTCTAGCACCGCGTGCTCCCTTCTTTTCTTTTCCCTCTTAAACTGTCAATCTGCATCATGTGCGACATTTGGCATTTTACAATAATGTGCTTAAAAGGAAAGACAGGGAAATGTTCGTTTTGGAAGGACTCCTAACTACCATCGACTGATAGACAAACATAAGGTTTCTGCTGAGGATTTGAGGTTCCAATGGCCACATTATCACACTGCCTCAGGCACATTCCAGCAGCCTCCACCCACCTGCCCAAAAATAAACTAAACAGCTTTAACTCTTTCCTCTCCACCCACTGCCCCCAAAGTGCTCGACCCAAACATTAAATCATGTACTGTAAGCAATGAGTAGTATATTTAGGTTTTGCGCTGCTTGAAAGTTGAGCAGCAAAGTGCTTTCAGATCGCCCATATCACAATTATAAGAGCAAAGAGCCTGACCAAATGTTTTTATACAGGCTTCCATTGTGTCATTGGACATGTATGCACGATGAAGAAACTGTGCAGGACACATGTGGACAACATTGCGGGTCACGAGGTGGAACACATATTTGGCTCTGACCAAATCTTCACCTGCTGAAAAATATTCTAGGCAACCGGAGGTATGAAAGGCAATGAATCGAGTTCTATTTCTGTTGACATTGACATTTTCAGATTTTTCGTTTTCATCCTATATGTTAAGTCAACCCTTCGACAAAGCATTTGCAATGACTACAAACTCCAACCAAATGCATGGATGCAAAATGGATTCCACAAACATTTTCCAGTAGATTTAACTACAGACTTCACGTGATTAGAAGAAACCACAAAACATAGGTTACCTAAATCGCAGCCCAAACTACAGAGTATGAGGTTAGAAATTGTCATGGGAAAAACTGCCTCCACTGTCACAGGTAGGTCGTTTGAACTTTACTCACACAGACATGGCACATTCACACTGCAGTATTATCACTGGCCACATCTGCAGTGAGCACATAATCACAGGGCTGACCCACTCCTGCGTTGAATGTAACAGCAATACTTTAGTCCCACTATGGCAAAAGTGTTTGTTAGGCCAAGCTCTTAAAAAGGAGAGTATGGACCATGTTATAAAATATACTCATGCCATACTCTGTTTGTCCGGCCAGAGCAATGTTGACGTTGTGTGGGTCGCATCAACACTATCTTGTCAGCCAAGATGCTGGCTGTCTTGATACACAACTGCTCGCAAGTTGAACTGCTGACTGACGTGGTATGATAAAAACCTGATGTAAAGAAAACCGCCAACTGCTGGCTGAGTGTATTAATTCACCGCATTCACACTAGTTGCAGGGTGTGGCGAGCTATTCAGAAAGCAAAGCACGGGTCTCCTGGGGGTTAGACTGCAAACACTATAATCACTAGACATACGGTACATCTGAACATGTACATTGGGTTTGAGATTGTCAATTGCAGACGACACTCTGTCCACATGTAGGCAAAAAATAGCTCACTGGTATAAAAGAGCTGTCAGAGACACGTTACATTCTGTCAAACAACTCCATTCATCCATTTTTCGAACTGCTATATCCTCACCAGGGTCGCGGGCGTGCTGGAGCCTATCCCAGCTGTCTTTGGGCAGCAGCAAGTTTTCTGTTTTTGCTCAGCAAGCATGTATGTGAAGAAAGTGCTAGTTTAGTTGACATACTGTATAACTAAGAGTTTTGGTTCAATATGAAAGTGGGTTCAAGTAAGATAAAGATAAAATCGTTTCATAAAAGACATGGAAAATACAGGTCAAAGATTACAGCATTTTGCAAATTAATGAATAACCCCACAAGTCAATCAATACAAACACCTATCTCTGTGTTTATGTCAATTTGTAACGGAAAATCCAATATGGACAAATAATGCAAATATATCCTGTAGAAATATAAAAATAATTGTTGTGAGCGAATTTGAAAGCTGTTCTCAGTCAGGTTCTCAACAGAGAGCAGCCCAGTCAGCTGATGACAGCTTTAATTCTCTTCCTGTAAACACGTACCACCAGGGAACTCCCTACTAATATTCACCCCACTTGTATATTTGCAGTAAGCACTTGCCTGGTAAAACCTGACAGCATAGTAAAGATGTTGTATACATCGCCACCCTCCCATTTCTTTCGACTGCGCTTAACTTCATTTGCAGTTGTGGTACTGGTTTTGTGACATATTTGGATCAAACAAAGTTTGAATAGCTGATTTCGTCAAATGCTTCATCTTACATATTTGATCATACTGTCAGGTGTCAAAAGCAAACCCACCCCCCAAAAAAATCATGGATTAAGTGAATCAGCACCTGCCCAGGAGTTGGTGAGACTCTCCCACCCTGTGAAGCTATGAGAGTGACTTGATGTGATGGCAGCCGTGCAAAGGTCAGATGTAGCTCTGATGGGCAACAGTTGGGAACTTGACAATACTGTATTTTAAAACATCTCTAGTCAGTAGGTTGTATTGGTACACTCGTCAGACTTGTGTGCGGGCAACGTGGGAACGGTTCCCACTCAGTGACAGTGTGGATGTGGGTGTGAATGGTCGTTTGTCTCTACTTGTGCCTTGCAACTGACTGGTGGCTTCAGCGACTCCCTGTGACCCTGTTCAGGATAAGCGTGGTTGAAAATGGATGGATGAATGGATAGTTAGTAGGTGGTGGCACGGTGGTTGACTGGCTAGCACGTCCTGTGTGGAGTTTGCATATTCTCCCCGTGCCTGCGTGGGTTTTCTCCGGGTACTCCAGTTTCCTCCCACATTCCAAAAACATGGCAGGTCAATGGCCCACTCTAAATCAGGGGTGTCAAACTCATTTCACATTGTTGGCCACATACGGACTCGGTAGATGTCAAGTGAGCCGGACCATTAAAATGATACCATGCTCTGCTATAAATAACCAAAATATAATGTCTTTCTTTTGTTTTGGTATAAAGAAGCATAAGGACATTAGGAAAATTTAACGAACATATCTTTTACAAAACATTTGACAAAACGACTTGACTCTGTTTCAATTGGCTGTCTAAATCTGCTAATAGGTCCGAAATCCTCTCTGCTACAGTATTCCTCGTCAGGCTAATATTGGCAAAAGTTTGTCGCTTCTCGGGACATACAAGTTCAGACGCCTTCATCATGCATCGTTTCACAAAGTCACCGTCGGAATATGGCTTTGATTCTAATGCGATTTTGCTCGCAATTAGGTAGCTGGCTTTTACTGCTGTTGTCTTCTTCTCTGATCAAAACAATGTTGTCTTCTACTCTGATCAAAACTGTGCCTGCCCCTAGCGGATAATCCATGAATTGCATCGTATTAAAAATATTCATTCCGTGTCTTTTATGCATTTTTTTCAATTTTAAATTATCCTGCAGGCCTGTTCGAACTTCATTGGGGACCGGTTCCGGCCCGCGGGCCGTATGTTTGACACCATTGCTCTAATTTGTCCTTGGGTGTAATTGTGAGCGTGAATGGTTGTTAGTCAATGTGTGCCCTGCGATTGGCTGCTATTTCAGGGTGTACACGGCCTACTGCCCGAAGACAGCTGGGATGGGCTTCAACAAGCACGTGACCTTTGTGAGGATAAGCGGATTCAAAAATGGATGGATGGTTAGAAAGTCTGTAGTTTCAAGCACAATGGCAAAATGGGTAGCAATGATCTCCTGCCATGAATCAACAAACTAATTAAGACAGAGAGACTGAAAAGCAATCCTACTTGTCTGAACTGTTCCTCGTAGGTCCATTCTCCGTGGTCTTGGCCCAGATGGCTGTGTGTGGCGTGGGGAGGCAAGTTGGCTATGCGGGGCTCTTGGTCAACACTGGGCCGAGCCTTCAGCAGCTGCGAGTGAGGGTGGAGCTGGCGGTGAGGCAGCAGGAGGATGCCTTTCCCAGGCACCAGTGCATTGTGGCCTGTGGGCAGACCTTCCTCCGCGAGGTCATCGTCAAAGTCTTCTTCCATCTCGCCTTCAAAGTCCTCCTCATCCCACTTTTGTTTGCTGTGATGATGTTGGAAATAAAGTATTGTTTTTAAAAGCAATGAAACAGAAAGCACTGGCAACTTAACTTACGAATGCCGATTGAGTTTCCCGAGGTACGAGCTTTTTTTGCTTCGTGTTGAGAGCAAATGTTTGACTTAGGAGTGAGCTTGAATCTGCCACTAAATGGATGCAGTAAGCTTCACATCGTCCACCCACCTCAATTGGTGTGCCTTATTTTGCAGTGAAACAGGTACGGTTGTTTTGTTGCCACTTTTTGTCCAGGAGGTATTTTGCCAAATTTGGAATGGATTAATAGCATTTCCGTTCATTTCAATGAGGCAAGTTAAATTTAGGTACAACACAAATAATTTAAGTTACAAGTATATTCGTGAACGAATTACAAATGTGAAGGTACCGCTGCACATTTATGAACACGGGGATTTGATTCTCACATCTGTTCCTCTTCATCCGACCCCATCATGTCTTTGTATTGTTCCTCTCGTTCGTTGTCGTCATCGTCAGCTTCCTCCTCACTGCCGCTGCTGCGCTCCGACATGTGGCTGTCCGACACCCTCTGTAACCCGGCCGCCGCAGCGCGCATGGCTGCCAGGGCCACCAACTGGGCTTGCTCCGTCTCAGGGGCCGGGCTGCTTATCGAGTCATCCCCCGCTACCCCACCTGGGCGGACGTGAGAGTGCTGGACAGCTGCTTGCTGCTGAAGCTGCTGCTCCATCAACAGCTTGGCCCTTTGCTGCCTGTGCAGGTTCTCCATGACGGCCTGCAGCTTCATTTCTGTGGCGAGCGGCACAGTGTTTAAGTAAGTGCCTAGTTTCCCCTCCCTCCCCCACTGAGGGAGCACCAGTTGAGGCTTCGTCTGGAGATGATGGTCGACCTTTCTGTCCACAGAAAGCAATTGCGAATCACGCCCAGTGGCTCGCAGCTGATTGGAGATTGCTGAGGGCGATGGTGATTTTCCTGGAGGAGAAACGGAAGCGGTCCTATTCTTGAGATGCAGACTTTTCACTTGTCTTGATGAAAGAGATGGATGTGAGGCTGCCAGTGGAACCACAAGTAGAGATACGAGACCAGGTTGACCGTCTACAAAAACCTGTGTGTCACAAAGAAAAATCAAGTCAGCTTGCTATTTCTGCAATATGTGCTAACAGTAACACATGAAGTACATAACAGAAAATTCTAATCCACATGAAGTCAACCCACAATATGTCCTCCACTCGTCTGATTACAGCGTTGTGGTTAAGATTGCGTTTGTGGAAGATGAGTTCAGCAGCAAAATCCACTGCATTTGACAGCACAGTGCCACAGACATTATGACACCATGTTCTGAATGCTTTTTTTTAGTTTAGTTTTTATTAGTCTTAGTATTAGGTATTTTTTTAATATATAGAATAGTTTTCGAGTGCAAGATAAAAAAAATAAAAGGTGATTAAGTATTGTGTAGTGATGGGTCCTGCGCATCGACGGGATTTTTCAATGTTAACAAAATTGCTGAAAACAAAACCAAAATTGCCTCATGAAGTGTTACGACACATTGGGCAAATTAGATTGATACTGTGGCATCATGTCAATACTGTGTCATTCTTTTGCTCAATATGACTCCTGCTGGATCTTACATCATTGCGTCGTAAGCAACCTGCAATATTATTTTGTTTGATTTCTTTTGTAAGTTATTTTGATTTAGCTTATTTTGATTTTCATCAAGGTTTAAAATAGCTAACAATAAATCATGTGAACATGTGTCAATGTTGAAATTGATTTTGCTTATGTACTTGTCTTTGAGGCACTGAGTTCTTAAAATTATTCTATGTACATTTTTCCTTAAAAATTGATTCCTTTTTTTCCCCATCAATTTCTCTAGCTTTGGAAAACACTCTCTCACAAGGTATTGATGTGGCTGGTGACCTAAAAACAGACATGTGGCGATAATTAGATCGATTGATCGATAGATTAAATACTAAAGTGATGAAATAGATCAACTACTTCTCTAAACAAATGCTTTGTAAATTTTTCTGTTTGGCAAAACATATGACGGCTCATAATATATCTCAGTATTACTTAATCCAATGCATGGACGTTTTATGCACAACAGTTCTCAGAAACTAATTCCATAAAGTTTAAGTAACAGGTAGCAAATGAGCTGATACAGTGGCTGTATCTCAACTCAATTCAACTGTATTTATAGAGCACTTTAAAACAACCACCGCTGTGTACAAAGTGCTGTACATGGAGCAAATATCATATCTACAACAATAAACAATAAAACAATAAATTCATAGCGAAGACAGTCGAAAGCACATTGGTCACGTGACTTTTTCTCCAAGCAATAAGCGTAACGGCACGGAGGCTTCACTCTTATTAACTTGACACATGCGCCGAAGTTTCAATGCGCAGGAGTCATCACGACACAATACTCAGTGGCCATTTTAAAAAAATGATCTTGCACTCGACAAATACGCCATATATTACAAAAAAAACTAATACTAATATAAACAGAGAAAATTTCAAATTAAAAAAGCATTTCTAATATTATTACTATTATTATTATTATTATTAACTAACAACTTGCTCTCAAAACCGATGAACACTAACTGAATTTAAATAGCAAAAGTCAAAGCGAAATCAAGACTAACTAATAATGCAAAATCCCAGACTACTGTAATCCTGAATCCGTGCTGAGTAAGATTAAAAAAATTAGTCAGTGAGAGATTTAGAAAAGTGGTGATTTTAAAATTTGCACAAAATGGCAGAAAATATTCCAAACTTGACTCAGTCACAAAATTCTTTGCTTTATAGTAGTTATTATAGCCCGGTAGTCAATCCTGCTCATAAGCAAACAGAGCAGAAAAAAGAACCGGCTTGATGGAAGAAATCGAGTGACTGCACCCAATATAGTGCAGTCACAGACTTATTGTCCTCCGTTCAGACCAGACTAAAACACTGCCGATTTTACAAAAGGAAGTGAGCATTCAAGGAGAACACTTATTCTATTTGCCAGGTTGGCTCAAAGCCAAGATTAGTCTCAGCCAACTAGCAAAACAAAACAATGTTTGTAACATTGCCGTTTTAGTGTCAAGCCAGCTCTGAGAGCTGTTTTATGAAAAGTAGGGATCACCAAAAATTATGTCATCAAAGGACTGCTGTCAATCAACCTTGATTTTATATGCACGCCATTTTAGATGATGCTTCATGTGGGCCAGTTTATCTGCCAGTCAGACTGAAGAAAAAAAAGGATCCAATTGGAGCACAAAACTTAACCGACTGATGTAGCATGCAAGACGAAACTTGGGGCCGATATTCATTTCGTGACACTGAGCAATAGTGTGAAAACAGCCTTCTTTATACAACATGGTCGCAGACAGGGTGTGCATTCAACGCACCCGAGTGACAGCTTGAAGGATGAGGCTGCTCTGGGTGCACTGTGTCTGATATTATTACAATCAAATCAAGCACAACTTGACTGATGATGGATTTTTTTTTTTGTTTTGTTTTTAGTTGGAGACATAATATTTTATGTAACATGCACACACAACGGACACAATATAAGACTACTGCCATCAAGCCAAATAAAAAATAGCGATATTCTGATATGTGTGCCACATTAGAGGTACATTTCTATATTGCTGAAAAATACAGGGGAGGTTTGACAGTAGTTAATTATTTTTCCAATGTCTACAAAACAAATGAATAGAATTGAAAATAAGCTAATATCGTTTTCCTGATCAAAACATACATTGAGAGTTTTTGAGTAAAAAATGGGCTGTCCTCGCTGGATCGTTCCTTGAATCAAACCAAAGTCAGTATGCAGCTCCAAAACCGCTGACAGTTTGCCTTGTATCTAAAGAAACGGGACAAACCGGTAGCTTTTGGTTTTGAACGAGAAGTTGTATATTCTGAAACTGCATTGTGGGAAACACCCCAGTAATGCAAAACGGGTGCGTTTTTATACCGTAGGAAAATGAGACATGACACAGAACAGAATGCAATCTTCAATTTTATTTGTTTAAGACTGAGCTTTAAAATTGAGTTACACACCGATTGACAACAGATGGCATTCACATAATCACATGGCTAAAAGTTGGAGATGAGTAGAACTTTGTGGCGCCAGTCATTCCTGTTATCGCTGCTTGTCATTTACATTTCAGTGTCACCTGTCACGAAATCCCTCACGGTGCAAATCTAACTGAAGAGAATTAAAGTTCGAATCATGATGTCACTTGAAATGCTACGGTTTTCCTTTTTTATGCTTGAGATTCAACTTTAGTTGTTTATGTCAGAGGTGTCCAAACGTTTTCGTTTAAAGGCCGCATTCAGAATAAAATTCTTCAACTTTTTCAAACACACTAAAGTCACTCAAAGAAGTCATGATGTATTGTTTGTATTGTCGACTTCATTTCATCAGCTTACTGTTTCAAAGTGTTAAAGTAAATAATTGAGGATTTTTTTTGGGGGGGGGTGGGGGGGAACAGCCTACTTACTCACCG